GCCCTCCTCTCGACACATTTCAACGACGAAATTCTCCACGTTAAGGACGGGCATCTCCGTTCGCACTGCTTCGAACCTTGGACAGTCGAAGACCACATGCTCCGGCGTTTCATCGACGTTGCCACACTCCGGACAGAGGGGTGACGCTGCGTGTCCGAACCGATGCAGGTATTTCCTGAAGCAGCCGTGGCCAGACAGGAACTGCGTTAGGTGGAAATTGACTTCTCCGTGTTTTCTGTTCACCTAGGTCGAAAGAATCGGTATTAGTCTTTGTGTCCATCTACCGTTCTCCGTCGTGTTCCACTCCTGTTGCCACTTAGCCAATGACTCCACTCTCACAACTTTCCGTACTCTTCCGGCTTCTCTCCGCCTGTAGCACTCGCTGCCCTCCGCCAGGGTGATGCCGATTGGGATCATACCGGCGATAACGCATACTGCTTCCGACGAGATGGTTCTGTACGCACTCACGACTCGCATGGCCATGAGCCGGAACGTACTGCTCAGTTTCCTTTGGTTCTGCTTCGTTTCCAGCGCTGGAACCCAGGCTGGACCTCCATATCTCAGTATCGATGATGACACGCTGGCCAGAAGACGCCTCTTGCTACTGCTGGGACCAGCGTTGTTCGGCATGATTCTAGCTATCGCGTTGATGGCCTTCGAAGCCTTCTCACAGGCATATTCGACGTGGCTGTTGAAGTTTAGCCGGTCATCGATCATCACTCCCAGGTATTTTAACACACGCTTCGAGGCTATGGTGTGCTCCCCGACGGTGACTTCTGCCCGCTGTACCGCTTTACAGTTACTGACCAATAACACTTCCGTTTTGTGGTGGGCTATCTGCAGCTTCGCTCCTTGCATCCAGTTACCAATCATGTCGATTGCCTCGGTTGACAACACTTCCACCTCTTCCAGCGTCTCGCCTGTTACCGTCAAGACGACGTCGTCCGCAAAGCCAACGATCTCAACTCCTTTGGGCAGTTTCAGCGTTAGCACACCGTTGTACATCCCATTCCAGAGCGTTGGATCAAGGATGGAGCCTTGTGGAACTCCCGCTGTGATCCTAATCGATCTCTGTCCCATGTCTGTCTCGTAGACCAGAACCCGGTTCTGGAAATAACTCCTCAGGATCCTGCACAGGTAGTCAGGGACCCTCATTCTATGCAGTGTTTCGGCGATGGCCTCCCAGCTGGCGCTGTTGAACGCATTCTTAACGTCCATCGTTATCATGGCGCAATATCGATCTCCTCTCCGCTTCTGTTTGGACGCCTTCTCAGCTCTCTCGACCACTGTCCGAATTGCATCCACCGTCGATCTCCCTTTCCGGAATCCGAACTGCCTCTCCGACAATCCGTGCTCACTCTCCGTGTATTTCGTCAGCCTGTTTAGGATGATTCTCTCCAAGGGTTTTCCGAGAGTATCCAGCAGGCATATAGGCCTGTACGATGCTGGATCCCCCGGCGGTTTTCCTGGTTTCGGCAGCAACACTAGCTTCTGTATCTTCCACCAGTCAGGGGAGTGACCCTCGTTCAGGCATTTCTGCAGCACCATCCTGAACATGTCCGGGGATGACTGGATCGCCGCTTTCAACGCTACGTTGGGGATTCCAGCTCAGCTGGACCGGGAGCTTTCTTCCCGTAAAAAAAAGAACCGTAGAAGTACAATTAAATGTATTGTAACCATACAATAGAGTTTACTGTATTTACAATAAATCGTATTCTCCACAACGATAAAATTACAATAGAATGTATTGTTTCTACAATAGAATCTATAGTAAATGGGGGAATACACAATAGAACAAGGGGGTCGTTATGTATCTTAACCATACGAAAAATCACTTTTTCCCGAACAAACTTGAGTCGTTTACCATTAATTGTATTTTTGTTCTAATGGTGAAAACTCTTATTATATGGGACGTATTGTACATCTATTGTAATATCAATCTGTTAAAATTTCGTGTACTATATACACACAATAAGATCGATTATTGGCAATAGATTTGCTTGTAATTGTATTTTATTTTATGGTAATTGTATGGTTATTTTTTTCCGGGTTCACCTTCAATCCTTTCGCCACTGCTACGAGTTCCTCGTTGGTGACTTCGACGTTATCTCCCTCTCCTTCTCCGTACGGTGTAGGTGGCCAGGTTGTTGGGTCGTGCTTTGGGAAAGTCCTTCCACGATGACTTTCAGCTTCTCTGGGCACATTTCAGCGGGCATCGTTGGACCTCTGATCTTCGCCATCACGACTCGGTATGCGTCGCCCCAGGGGTTGGCATCAGCGTCTCGACACAGTTCGACTTGCTCTGCTTAATCTCTCGTTTAAGTGTGGCCCTAGCCGCTCGAAACACTTTTCTTCGTTCCTCTCTGTCTGCTTCCGTTCTTGCTCTCTGAACACGTTTTCTGGCTCTGAGACAACTAGCGCGGAGAGTGCTAAGTGTCTCGTTCCACCAGTAGACTGGACGCCGTCTGTTATTTGGCTCCAGTTTCCTCGGCATGGTCATGTCACATGCTCTCACTAACGTTTCTGTCAGCTCGTCCGCATTTAGATCTGCGGGACTCCTGTCCACACGAAGTGCCTCAACGAACAGATCCTTGTCGAAAGCCTTCGTATTCCACTTTCGGTCACAAGTTCTAGTAGAGCCTATGGCAGAAAATGCAGAGCAAAAGAGAAGAGTGCGACAGTGGAGAGCAGAACCATTTATTTTGTGAACAATTCCTCGAATTTCGTGGCTCGAAATGTTGGTAGCGTAGTTTGGGACGATTTTCGCCCATTTCACCCCCCACCATCCCTCTCCAAAGGGGGAGTTCGTATAAAAATTACCACTACAGTCTGTTATTTGAAATTAGCATCTTCAACTATGTAAATCGTTGACTTCACGTAGAAGTAATACTAAAACATATAGTCAAAGTAGTAAATTATAATCAAAAATGCTTTCCACAAAAAAGGAATTTTAATTTAATATACCATAAATGTGGACATAGTACCATAGAGGTAACTCTAAGACCACTGGGTCCCGAAGAAAATTATTATTATTTTTGGCTCACTCAGTACCAGAACAACGGTCCCAAGCAGTCCCAAGCTATTTCACTCACCCCTGCATGTTCTGCATGAATCCACACACCCCTGATTTTATCTGTCAAACTTTCATAGCGAATCAAAACAAACATAGTGTAGTAATAGAATTTCAACTAGAATAGGGTACGTTAATCGTTTGCTTGGGACCAATAGGCTACTAAAGTGGTGAGCCAATTTAAAACCGTTAGTTTCGTATTGATTGTTGATAGTACTATGTACTTATTGGCGTAGGTAGTCTTTTACCCAATGAGGCACTCAAAGCAAACACAATTCAGAAGTATAATTTTATAATGATCTTTTTGATAACCCTTTCTCGCACATGAATCAATGTAGATGCTAGTGTAGATGATTCTTTCATATTCTCTGCATAACAATATGCCAACTGCCATAATTCAGCGCAGTTAAGAAAAACGTAATTTCAATTAAGTGGTGATGATTGAAAGGAACATCTTTAGAAATTTCACGCACAGTATCTGGGAGTAATTCTTGACAGACTTGACCGACTCAACTGGAATTCACATCTAGAGCAGATTGTTAATAAGGCAACAAATGCTCTTTGGGTAAGATAAAAAGGCTTTTGGTAGGAAATAGGGCCGAAAACCTAAAATGATCCACTGGATTTATTTGACGATTGTATATAAGACCCAGAATATCGTACGTACCATTGGTTTAAGTGACCGCAAGTGCTAATGAAAAATCGGCTCAGAAGAAGCTTGGGAGACTGCAAAGCCTTGCTACTCTCTCAATAACTGCAATGAACAGCACACCGAGTATGGCACTAGATGCTCTACTTAATCTGCTTCCGTTGTATCAATGTATCCAATTAGAAACTGAAAGGAGCGCTTTAAGGGTTCAGCAGACAAAGTTCTTCCTTGAAGGTGATCTTACAGGACACCTTAGTATTCTAAAAATGGTTGATGTTGATCCTCTTGTATTAAAAAATGAAGACTGAATGGAGAAAAGGTATCACTTCGATCGTTTATACAATGCAACAGAATTTGATCGTAATGTTTGGGAAAGTAAGGGACCAAACATTCCTCCAAGTTTAACTTTTTTTATACAAGTGGTTCAAGATTGAGCAATCGTGTGGCATGGCACATCACAATGTGGTTCAATGCTTAAGGCTCAAACGCAATGTGGGCGGAAACGGAACGAAAACCGGCTAGTTTGACATAACGTTGTCTAACCGAAGTTTTCCATCCGACAAGTATACTTGCCTATATGCTTCCCCAGATTGGGCTATTCCGTTACCGCTGCCATTGCGGTTGGGCCTTCAAGGGTTCTCCAAAAGGTAAATGGCAAATTAAGCGCTTTTACCAATTATTCAGGCAAGTATGGAATGATTTTTTTCCGTGACGGCAATCTGAAATGCAAACCCACGGAATTAGGCCCAAGCAAAAAAAAGCAGTGCCCGTATTCCACGCATGAAATTTTCTATTATAATTCATACATGTTTCAATTCAAATAATTGTTCAAATAATACTTTAAATATACCTGTTCATATTCACGCTCTTCAAACTAAAACACTGTTTTGTTTACTACGCACATTTTTAGTATAATCACTAGGCCACAGAAGGAAACTGGCGTCTGTAAAAATGCGCATTTGCAATAATTTTTCTCTACAAAAAACGAAATATTTATCATTGTTTACATTTAAGCCGCACTCATTTTGAAACCATAAACAACGCAACTCGTAACGCATTAGACTTAATTCGGCATCATCTTTCGTTTTATTCCGAATGCGCGGAATGAGGCAGTGCGCAGAATTTTGGCGGTTTACGGTACTTAGTTATACAGTTTATAAACATTGCATTGCTATGCAGCGAATAGAAATAAATAGCTTTAATTTGCGAGAGCGAGTGGTCTCCAATAGAGCGTGAGTGAATAAGTGCCTGCTGTACTTCTACCACGTTTGCTATAATAGAATTATTGTTAGTTCAGTTCTCCTGACTGCACCGACGCAGGTGCTCTTTGCATTTTATCAAGGTATTTCTTCTGCATTTGAAGGTCACACAAACAATGATTTTCTGTTTTGTTCCTTTTCAGATGACTAACGCATTCAATATTTTGGGAGATTTTCTTCACCTTTCAGCAATGATATTGCTGATCGTGAAGTTTCTGCGAACAAAGTCGTGCGCAAACATTTCTGGAAAAACACAAATCCTCTTCGCGATCGCGTTCACGATGCGCTATCTGGATTTTTATTCACCACCGATTCCCTATTACATTGTGATGAAATGTGTGTATGTTGCACTTACTTACCTGTTCGTCTTCATGATCTACGGACCGTTGAAAAAAACCTACGACCGAGAAAACGATGGAATGTACAACGAATTCCTGGTAGTTCCTTGTTTTGTGTTAGCTCTATACCTTAGCGATGTGAGCGCTCCCTCAGAAATCCTGTGGACGTTCTCGATTTTCTTGGAAGCGGTCGCGATCGTTCCCCAGCTAGACCTGCTCTGCAATATTGACTTCATTGACAACTACAGCATTGGTTATCTTGTACTGCTCGGGCTGTATCCGGTGAAGAACATCTTGAACTGGGCCTATCTATACCACTACGAAGGATTCTACTTAGTGAAATACGTATTTACGAGTTTTTTGATGACTACGCTGTTTGCGCTGGTTTTTGTACGTTTGTACATACTGAAGCGTCGCGACAGAAAGCTCATGATCGCCGTTGTAGGTTAAATAGCAGTTCAGATGAAAATCTATTTGTAATGTATCTCATTTAAAATCTAGAATAGTGTATAATAGTGCATCAAAAATGCTGGTAATCGGCTGAAAAACATTAGATCTATGCCATTGTGGGCTTTGTAGTAATAGTGGAGTTCCTGCATTTGCGTTATGGCGGTTTTCCCCAAATAATAATGGAAACTAACAAACTTAAGACTCCAAACACGATGCCTCGAGTAAAATGTTTAAAGGCAAACTTGCAATGTTTGAAAAATCATAGCTAAGTCATTTACTGACGAATTTAAAATCTATTGGCGCCATGTGAAGCAACATATTTTAAAAATTTGTATGGAATCAAGCATTGTCAATTTGTCGTTACACATTTTGCCCAAGGCATCGTGTTCGGGGTGTTAATTATGATCATCATATTATCATCAAAACAAATTAAGTAAATTTTCGTACCGTAAACAGCTTTAATATCACGCATCTCGTAATGCCAAAAATCGTCGATATATTGTGAAATATTTTAAAATAATATGGTTTCCATAAGCTACACTCTCAATCAAATTATTCACAGTTTATTGTTCGTTTAAAATCTTCTAGAACTAGAATCCATTAGACACCTCGTCGTTCCCTGTTATAAGTACCAGTAAATCATTAATAATCAGGAATGCTTGCTTATACCTATCTTGAAAAATAAAACATGGGTTCCGCTTTTGCTGATACATCTACAAGATAGAGCGCGGTACAACTTGAAAAGTTCCGAATTGAAAAATATACGGTTTCACATACATTTAAATGTTTTTTTTTATTGAAACATGTTTGACTTTTTATTTATTTATTTATTTATTTATTTATTTACATCAACAGGCTGGATGAAGCCCCAATGATTTAAACCTTATCAACTATGATAAAAAAAATACATTCAAGCATGGTCATAACATAAAAAAACATTAAAAAACGTATATCTTATAGTCAATATCTTAACTCCTGCCGGCGAAAAACAGAAGAAAACTTTCGACGAAGCGCATCACGGGAGAGATGAAAGTCGAAAACAGATGCAACTCTGTTGAATGTTCTCTGCAGTCCGCAAATCGCACCGTACGCTCCATAATTTGTGCGACGTAGAGGCAGTCTTAGCATAAGGTTATTACGAAGCGGTCGGGGTTGAACATTCAGGTCAATTTGCCTCAGGATAGCCTCACAATCTGTCCGTCCTTGTAGGATATCGGCCACGGTAAGGGCTCTGTTTGTGTCTCTTCTAGTCCGGAGAAGTTCTAGGTCGATAAGTTGACAACGGCTTTCGTAGCTTGGTAATCGAAACGGATCGTTCCAAGGCAATCTACGCAACGCAAAACGAAGAAAGCGACGTTGAACAGATTCAATTCTCTCGGCACCGTTGTTGTAGTTTGGGTTCCAAACCGCTGAACAATACTCAAGCGTCGATCGAACAAGCGAACAATAGAGAGATTTTAGACAGTAGATATCAGTGAAGTTTTTAGCTATCCTAAAAATGAACCCTAAAGTTCTTGACGCCTTATCAACAACATATGCAATGTGTTGCTTGAAAGAAAGCTGCGAATCCAAGATCACACCCAAGTCTTTCACCTGATTCACGCGTTCGATTGTCGAGCCAAGCAGGTCATAGCTAAATATTATCGGTTGTTGTTTTCGTGAGAACGTAATAGCGGAGCATTTGGCTGGGTTCACTACCATTCTGTTTAACCTGCACCAACTAGCGAATACATTCAGTTGACGTTGAAGAAAGTGACAGTCAGCAATGGAGCAGATTCGTAGGAAGATTTTGAGGTCATCTGCATATGATAACCGAGGAGCTTCGATGACCAGATGCACGTCGTTGAAGTACAGTATAAAAATTAACGGTCCCATGTGGCTTCCCTGAGGTATACCTGATGTGGCGAAGAAGCTAGCTGATCTGCAATCTCCTATGGCAACTTTTAGTTGCCGACCGGTAAGATATGATCGAAACCAACTCAGAAGATTACCGCATACACCGAGCCTGCCGAGTTTAGCAATCGCAATAGCATGGTTCAACTTGTCGAATGCTGCGGATAGGTCTGAATAAATAACGTCCGTTTGAACCCGATCCGACATGCTTTCGGTTATATACGATGTGAGACACAGCAGATTGGTAGTTGTAGAGCGGCCGACAGTAAACCCATGTTGATCAGCACTCAAATACTGCTTGCAATGGGACAGCAACGGTTCCATAATCACTAGCTCGAATAGCTTCGAAACGGCACTTAACGATGTAATTCCTCGATAGTTATCCACAGCTCGTTTCCTTCCTTTTTTGTGGACGGGAAACATGTGCGCAAATTTCCAGCAAGATGGAAATATGCCACCTGAGAGAGACATTCGGAACAGGCGAAGAAGCGGAATTAACAAGCTAGCAATATGTCTCTTCAAAAATACAGATGGAACTCCATCAGGTCCAGGATTGAAGGATGACTTAAGCAGAGTCGCGGCCTTAGAAATCATTTCTGCATTAACATCAATTGCACCCAGCGTTTGATCGTTTACTGGAACGTTCCTGGCAGCCAGGTTAATATGGTCGTCAGTTAGTGTCTCATTAGTGAATACACTGGAAAACTTTTCGGAAAAAAGGTGGCATATATCCTGAACAGTGGCAGCAACTTCTCCGTTGAATTCCATAGACGATGGGAGGCCGGATTCCCTGCGTTGCTCGTTCACGTAGTTCCAAAAGGATTTCGGGTGTAGCTTAAGTTTGCGCTGGATGCCTCGTTGGAAATTTGAAAAGCATTCACGACTGACTCGCTGGTACATGTGATTCAGCCTCACATAATGTAGTTTCAGAGGAAGCGTGCGATACTTCGTAAATCTTCTCAATGCTGCTCTCTTGATTGACTTCAACCTACGTAGCTCTCTCGTTTGCCAGGGAGGGTGAGACACTTTGTGGTGAGTTCTTTTCGGGACGTGTCTGTCAATGACATATGCCAAGACATGTGAAAAGGTTTGCGCTGCAGCCTCAATGTCATCTGGATCAAGGATGTTCTCCCATACCATGCTAGACAATACATCTATGATGCTACGGTGGTCAGCTTTACGGAAGTCATAAGAAACCGTAGCAGTATAGTCGCCAAAATCACGCACGAGTTTGTCCTCAACAGTGACAATTAGAGGAGGGTGATGTGGAACTAGCTTAGTTAGTGCACAAGGAGCCGAGGAAATTGATGGAGCCCTGCCCTGTGTGCTCACGAAGCAGAGGTCCAAACTACGACCATTTTCATTAACTACATGGTTAATTTGAGAAAGCGTCGCTGCGCTGTAGTTGTCAAGAAGGCTAATAGCTCCTGCGTGAAATGTAGAGCTATCAGGATCTGGATACAGGAATCCGCTATGAGATGGACTCCACGAAACGCCTGGCAGATTGAAGTCACCAAAAATGAATATGTCATCAACTGGAGTGGAACTTTCGACAACTGTGAAAACTGACCGACAGTGAGTATCGATGAGTTCATTGTCACGGACTCGATCAGGTGGAATGTACAGAGCGCATAGAAATAGTGTGCGATCACCCAGATTGATGGCTGTCCAAACCTGCTCCACATTGTTCCATGAATCGTTCTCGATGGCCTTTACCTCCAACCCGCTACGGACAGCTACAAGGACACCTCCACCAGTAGATTTATGGCTGTTGTTAGGATTCCGATCGCAACGAAAGACCTCGTAGTCAGGACCGAAGACTTGACTGGAAAGCGTTCGATAATCGAGCCACGTTTCGCACAGGACAATAATATCGTAGCAACGATCCGATACAGCTAGGCGGTATTCTTCAACATCAGAATTCATTCCACCGGCGTTTTGGTAGAAGATCACGACGTCCTGCTTGCGGCAAGGAATCGAACGACTGCTCTCCCTGGAAATCACAGATACATCAGGCAATAACTGACCATCATCAAGTCTCATTGGATACTCGCCATAGTGAGTGGGTTGGAAGACCCCCTCTCCGCATCCGACAGCAGGTCCGGAACGACTATGATGAACGAAGGCTGCTGATGACAGGACTGAGACGGAGGGATTGGGGGCTTCCATGGGGCTTTCTACGGCGCGTTCCGGGTTTCCAGGATTAGGAGTTACAGAGGCATCAACACAATGACTAACATAGTTAGAATTGCTGAAAATTTGATCGGCATCAGGCAGTGAATAGTTAATATATTGATTGTACTTGCTTGTAGAGGCAAGGTGGAAGACTCCTGATTCATATCCAGCCACAGGTCCAGGACGACTATGCAGAACGCTGGCGGGAATCGGCACGACTGGGCTGGAGTAACCAGGAGCTTCCAAAGAGCGGTCTATTGTGCGTCCCGGAGATGAATTAGGATTGTTCGAACAGTAAAGCGGATGTTGTGAATGAGCAGTATCAGAAGTGCTTCTCAACTGGAAACAGCCGGCAGGTGCTTGAAGCGTTGCACTGGAACACGGAAACTGATCAGGCAAATGACTGTAACTAATGTATGCATACTTGCCTGAAGACGATGCTTGGGAGACCCCACCACCGAACTCGACCGCAGGGCCAGAACGACTCTGATGGCAGGAAATAGAACGACTTTGATGGCGGGAAACAGCTAGCGCGACTGGATCGAGTGGTTCGAGGTCTCCCATAATGCGACAGGCATTGCGTTCTGGTCTACAGCGCTCCGATTCACAACGCAAAATCCAATTCTGAATCAGCAGACTGGGTCTAGTCCGGAAATGGGAGTTGAGAACTCGGAAGGTCCCGTAATAGGAGAGATCGTGATGGTAGGCGTGTTCAAACGAGGCAACCACATGTTTTTTGAACCGTCTTCAAATTCACGGAACAAAATTCCTTTCGGCCATGTATCCGATCTAAGAGCAGCTTCGCGTAGTTTGGGATCCATTCCGACTTTGTACGAGATGAAGCTCATACGGCTGATGTCGGATCCTTTTTTGACTAGCGGCACAACCTTAATCGGATCTTCGCACTGTACACAACCTTTCACCAGCTTCTCGATTGATTCCGATTTCACGCTAGGATGAATACGAGAAAGGTACAGCCAAAACAGCTCGGTGGGTTCAGGGACAGTAAGGACCTCGGTAAAGGCATTGTCACCTGTTACTGCTTTAGAACCACCAACAAGTGGTTTGCCTGTGAGCGAGCCTTCATCGCGGCGCCGTTTTAATGGCGGTTGACGCATGAAATCAGAGTTTGTCGGAGTTGTCAATGCGATTCGTTTTGATAGCTGAGCGATCTGCTGTTCTTGCTTAGCCATTTCCTTCCTAAGCTCAGCGTGTGCGATTTCCTGTCTCTCGGTGATAGAATTAATCACACTGCCAAACGACGAAACGGCAGTTTTGAATCGAGCACATTTCATCAGCTTCGCGCACTCGTTACACATCCAAAACAGGTTCGGGCTAGTATGGACAATGTTCAGAAAAGCCTTATTCAGCTTTGTGCCGCCACACTTTAGGTGAATCATCCTGTCGCAAAAAGCCATGCAGGAGACGGATTCTTCATCGCCTTTAACTGGCTTAGCGCATTGGTCACAGGCGGAAGTCATGCTGACTCAGTTTCCAAAAGTGATTTAGAAACAGCGGTGGAGATGCTCTAATACGCAAAGAGGAATTGAATTCTCGAGATCGCCCAATGCTAGTCGTGTACAATATGTCCGATTGGATAATGTTTTCACTGTTTTCACAACACAAAATATGCTCTAATTGGCCGATTATCGTAACGAACTACACTTTCCACTAACAACCAGTACAATATTACAAGTAT